TCAACGCATACCGTTCACATGTTAACTCCAACTGTGTGTACAAATTTACATGTATCTACCGGAGGAATTGCATTGGGATGACAGAAAGAAGGGTATATCTAAGATTTTCTGAACATGTACCAAAACGCCTACGTATTAGGGGAACAAATACTTACAATAGTACTATTGCTAGGCATCTCCATGATACGGGGTCATGAGGTGGAAATCGCAAGATTGTTCAAAATTATCACTATAAACTAAAGAGTTCAATTCTCCTCAAGTTCGCCGTTGTGTATGAATATTATTGTTGTTTGGGATAAAGTGACTACTTTTATTACCACTGTATGTATATATTGATTTTTTGTTGAAAAGTCAACTTTCTGTGTATAATAAAAATTAGAAAAAAAAGTTGAGCAAAGAATATCCTTTTTGATAATTTCCTCTTCTGGCTCTGTAGAGTTATACATGTGTTTATATAGAAAGAATATTCTAGAATAATCGTCACTAAAAAAATATTGGTGTTTTTAAATACTATCGATTTTCAAGTACTGGTTTGAAGGGATTATTGTTTGATTGGTTGGAGAATTTCATCATGAGCTGACATCAGTTAGAGAACCATTAGAAAACCAGCTGGGAGTACTGGATAGCTGTTTTTGTTGTCAGAGTTCGGGACTATTCAGTAGTACGCACTAATCCCAATGGTCTGTCTGTCTGTCTGGATTCAACATAGAACTTGCCACCGAAGTGCACCAGTTCGAGTTGCCACGTTCCAAATAGCACACAGAGGTAGACAAGAAGATGAGTGAAGAGAATCAATACAGTCTGACAAGTATAAGAGTGAAACAGAATGGGTAATGGTAGAAAGGAATATGAAAGATTACAGAGACTGAATACATCTCGCTGGCCATTGACAACGATTTTGAGCCATGTCACCTATTGTCTCCAGCCATTGATTCCTAGAGTCCCGAGGGCCCCAACCCGGAGTCTGCATCTCCCTACCTGACTCAGTTTAACTGTCAAGGATTTCATGGATTGATGAGGCCATGTTTTTGTTTGGCCACCACTGCCTCTTTTCCAACCTGCACCTATATCAGCTAGTAATGCCCGTCGGGGGAGGCGATGGTTAGGCATGCACAGCACGTGACCTAGCCATCTTAGTCTATGTAACTTTATAGCCTCGTCGATTGATTTTCCCTCTTTGCCCAACACTCTACGCCTAACGTCAACATTACTTACCTTATTAAACCACCTAACGTGAGACAGAGATCGCAGACATCTATGATCGAAAGCAGTCAACCTTTTCATGTCTTCAACGCGTATTGGCCATGTTTCAGAGCCATAGAGAAGGACGGAGCGAACTGATGAGCAGTACACACGTCCCTTGGTTGATAACCGGATGTCACGCCTACGCCAGAGATGGTGTAAGTCAGCGAAAGCAGCTCGAGCTTTTCGGATCCGTGCTGAGATTTCATCGCCAATCAGTTCGTTGGTGCTAATACAACTTCCCAAATAGGTGAAGTGGTCAACATGTTCTATCACTTCACTCCCTATCACTAAGTTAGGAGTTGACGTGGTCCAGTCCTGTAGCAGCATCTTACATTTTGCAGGGGCGAATCGCATGCCAAACATACGAAGATTGCTGCTCAAGGTGTTCAGAAGACTCTGCATTTTGTCAGCATCCTCCCCTAACAGGACTATGTCATCTGCATATTCTAAGTCCATAAGACTATTCCCTGGTAACAAGTCGATTCCTAAGTCATTACGTTCAGTTAAGGATACTTCCATCAGCATATCTATGATGAAGTTAAACAGAAATGGGGAAAGTGGACATCCCTGTCGGACACCACTGGTTGTTACCAATTCAGATGACAATTCCCCATAAGCCCTTACACGACTACGTGAGTTTGAATAGAGTGCCTTGATTAGTGCAATGTATTTCTTGGCACTCCCTTCACAGTCAGACATTGCCAATGGGGTTCGGACCTAGGACCTTCTGATTACAAGACAAGCTCGTAGACTATCGATTTGTGAAGTAAGATGAATGGAAATACACTTCAAGAAAGATTGATAAATTATAATAAGCATAAAAATGTAATAGTAAATAGGATATCAAATAAAATTAAGGGAATCTCAACAATAAATTAAGGATCATTAAAACCTTGATGGTCAAAGTAAGAATAGTGTGTGAACCAACCAACTTTCTTTCGGATACATAGGTTAGGCTTCTGAATGTAGACCCCAACAGCCAAACTCAGTAATATGTAGTAGATGAACTCTTAAGACAATAAAGTTAAGATCAGTTTGTATGTGTTAGATGACTTTGAAAGACTCGCTAGGATAAATCTTGTGTTCTGTATCTACGAGATGGGGGTAGAATAGAGCTATGAATCGATTTTATTTGTTCCTTATTTAACAACGCAGGATGGTGTTCAGAAATCTGACGATAAACACGTCTATGTAACTGGCTTCACAGTAGCAGTCAAATTGGTAGATACACAAGGAATAGGCGAAATTAAGCAGTTTGTCTTTAACTACCGAACATAAAATAGGGGTGGTTTTGAAGAGACGATGTACTTCATTGGCAGTGAATGCTCTTTTTACCGCATTCCTAAGACGTTGCTTTCCCCAAGGTACTGAATTTTTAAGAATAAGACCTTTTTTGGAACTGTTAGTACTTCGGCTTGCCTTGACTTCTGATTCTCATTGTTATCGGTGAATTTATATGGGTAACCTTTCTCACTCAGCAACTGTTTATTTATATCAAGCTCTTCATAGTCGACCAAGAGCCGATCGCTCAACAAATATGTAGGAGTAAAATGGACAGACATAAAATGGACCCACACAAAACAAACTGAGAGGATCTGAACTTTGCCGATGATATTTGTTTGATTTTTAACAGACTGGAAGATATGCAAGTGAAAAGCAACAAGTTGGCCAAGGAAGAAGCATCAAAGATAGCCCTTCAGGTGAACATAGATAAAACAGAGGTGATGAAGATTCTGGCCAACAGAAACTCCCACAGCAACAACAACAGACAACAATCAGCCAACATAAATGCGAGAAAGCCGAAAGAAACAACCTCTTCTACCTACCTAGGAAGCATCGTTTCAAATACAGGCGAACGAACTGACGAGGATATCAAAGAAGAGGATCGGAAAATCAAGACAAGCTTCATTACTCTCAATTCTGTGTGGAGGTCAACAGCCCACTCAGCATCAAAAATAACATCCGTCCGGATTTTCAACTCCAATGTGAAGTCAGGGCTACTCACTATACGGATCAGAAACTTGGCGCGTCATCAAGAGCACCTCAAACAAACTACATATCTTCACTAAGAGTTGTCTTCGCTCAATACTCAAGATCAGATGGCCGACCAGAAAAGATCACCAACAAGGAGGATCTCTGGGAGCGAACCAACCCAGCAGGAACAGATTGTGAAACAAATAGGCCGGAAGAAATGGAGGTGGATTGGCTGGCCATACTCTGAGAAAACCATCAAGTGACATCACTAGACAAGCCATCGCTCGAGTGGAACCCGAACGGAAAGAGGCGAGTTAGTCATGAGTGCAAGGGTGACTTCATCTGAAGAGGAGATGAAAACATGTGAGCAGACTTGGAGTAGGGTGAAAAAGTTGGCAGAAAACAAAGGCAATGGAGACGCGCGGCTGAAGCCCTACGTTCCTCTAGGAATTAAAGGATATAATAATAATAATGTAGGGTGAGAGGCTTCAGTCTACAAGAAGCAAAGGACTAGACACACACATGACACCAGTTAACTAATGTTCACACCAAAGTATAAATCGATTTGTTTAGAGTGTTGGTTATATTTTTTTGACTCACTGACCGACTGAAAACTTGGACAAGATAATTTTTTGTTGAAGAAATGAAATATGTGAATTAGAAATGAAAACAAAAAAAGAAACACATCGTTTGTTGACTTATTTCTTTGTGTTATTTTGTTATTCTATCCGAAAATTAGGCCTAGGTAGACATTATGACAAACAATAACAACAAGACACAAGATTGTGTGTTAAATTTCATTTTTACATACGATGGAATGACTCAACGGTGATATAATTTCTAATTACTACACAAATACAATAGAATACAACAGCTATTTCATTCAGTGGTGGCTGATATCTATGGAATTCAGAAGGCGTATTTCGTATTATTTGGAACTCGTCAGCACTGCATGTACTTGCAAGCCCCAGAGAGAGAGGGAGAGACCGCTGGTATTTCCACTGAGTCTCAAACACAGGAGCCATAGATTCCATCGTCATCTTCAGCCACCGGACAATCACAACCGTACTAAGACGAGCCAACATTTCAACAAAGACTGAACGTTTAAGTTCAATATCAATCAGTTAGAGGAAGGTGCGAAGGTGAGTATCATCACGAAAACACATATCAAGGAGTAGGCAATAGTATGGGATGATCATCCCATCTACTCTATGTCAGTGAAAATAGGATTGGTGAAATGTTTAAGTGATAGAGCACAAAAACTAAGAAGTACCAAGGAAAATCTAAGTCAGGAAATGAGGCATATAAGAGAAGCTTTCAAACTTAATTAATAATTACCCTGACAGATTAATCAACAAGTATGTAGAGAAATGTAAAAATAAAATAAATAATGTTAGTAGTGATAGTGATAATAATAATAATAAAAGTAATATTAATGAAGACATGCAAGTCAAATGTGCGCAAGACAACACCAAAAATAAGGAATCTAAACCATCAGTAGTACTTCCATACAAGGAAGGAACCTCGAAAACCACCTTACGGAGAGAATTCTTAACAAGGCAGGCAGGAATAAAAGTGGATGGCATTCAAATCACCCACAAACTCAATTAGATACAAGCTTTGTCGGTTAAAGGATCTCCTTCGAGTGGAGCCAATTAAACAAAACAATTTAGTTTATCTAATACCCTGAGATGAAATTCAAGTAATTTATCGTCTTATTCAACATTATAAAAAAATATATATATAATGTTAACAACAACAACAAAAAGAACACCACTTACAAAGCTTCCACTTCTAATCCTAATACATCACAAAATTTAGACAGGGTTATCACTCCTGTCTGTTGAGGATCAAATAATTCTTGCCATCTCTAAAAATCAAAAAAAAAAATAATAATAAAGCATATTATGTAGACTGATATTATCATATATATTCAATGTACGTAGGAAATATATCAAATCATTTCGAACAGAGTTAATTTATGAACTCTAATTATGCAGACAAACTTTACAAATAACAATTAAAATATATAAATCAATCACAGGGTTCTCTCTATAGATAAGATAAGATTGTTCATAATATAAATTATGCAATTAGTTATAATAACAGTAATGACAATAATAATAATAATGGTTCTATCAATCACAGTGATGAAAATGTGAGACGATCTGTGATAGCATGAATAACGAAAAACAGCATGATTAAATAGACAAATTTTCAAGTATTGGTTTTGTAGGGATTTTGTTTGATTGTATGGAGGATTTAATCATGAGCTGACATCAGTTAGAGAACCACTGGAAACCCTGGGAGTACTGGACAGCTGTTTCGTCCCAGTTTGGGACTCTTCAGCACTACGCACCCACCGGGGTTCGAACCCAGGACCTTCTGGTTACAAGGCGAGCTCGTACACCATTGAGCCACTGGCCCTATTCAGGCAGTTGACCTGGGGTTCTAGTGGGAAGCCGTGACCAGTAGGGTACAGCAGGTTGAAGATGAGGCAGTAACTCATCGAAGAAGACATTGCGAAGTAGTCGCGCTATGTCGTGAATTGGCAGAGTTAGAATTCAAGAACCATTGGATCGGGTCCCAGTGGCTCAATGGTCTACGAGCTCGCCTTGTAACCACAAGGTCCTGGGTTCGAACACCGGTGGATGCCTACGGATGAAGAGTCCTAAAATAGGACGAAACATCTGTCCAATACTCCCAGGTTTTCCAGTGGTTCTCTAGCTGATGTCAGCTCATGATTAAATCCTCCATACAAACAGACAAATGTTCAGGTAGATATAGAGGCTAAGAAAAACAAATGAACCGATTAGGTAATGCTAGAATGATTGTAAGGGAAGTAAGTGAAATACGCTTTTAATGAAGACGTGATAAGATTAAGGGATGATAATATATAGGGGGGGTTGAAAATATAACTAAAGGGTGGTGAAGAAGTCATCAGTTGGTTTTAGGTCTGAATAGGCCAATAAGGGAGGGGTAATGGCTATACGAACTTCTTTTGAATAAATGCATAGTTAGGCTTAATAGTTCAAATGCCTATCGCCTCAGCTGTGTTCGTGCAGTAGACGAATACGAAGTATATTGGAAAGATTCGGTGGGTTCCGATGAATTACTTTGAAAACTCTCGTTTTCTCCACTAAATGACCACTATCAACTAAATGTGACAAAATTGAGCTACGGATTGTTTTTGTCTGTCCTTTGCCAAACCAGGATGGGAGATGTTCACTAAACACGTTGGCTAAGCCGTCTAGTAGTACGCCCAACATAACTGTCACCTCAGGTGCAGCTAAACTGATAAATACACACAGATGTGGCGAAACTATCCAGCTATCTATCCTTCATTTGCGTCCCAATCATTCATCGGCTAGAGAGTGTCAAACATTGGTTGCCACAACTACGGGCATTTATTAACTCAGCTGTATAATAATAATAGTAATAATTATTATATTATTATTATTATTATTAAGACTTCAATGCTAATTAAGATGAACGAAATATTCCCATATTGGGACACACAAAACAGATGTAAACAGTGAAAAAAGTTCTCTCTTCCGACGATTCATTTTCATGAACTGCTGTACAATCGTAATTATATCAAATAAAGAAATGTTTAGACCAATCAGATACTAGTAAACTTTGTCTTTGAAAAATGTATTACATAATGTTAGGTGAAGTCTAGAAGGGGTAACTAATTGTGAGTTAGAGAAGAAGCAAAGCTCCTGTCATCAATCTCTCCCTCCACCCTGTGACATTAGATTTTAAAACTGTCATTTTATCGAATCAACTGCAAATACGTGGAATAGGAATGATTCAAAACGTGTCCACCCAGATATCTGGAAAATTCTACTACCCGTAAGACGACAATTAGGAGAAGGCAAATCAAACTATAAAACTCAAGTTTCGAAGTCATGTGATTATAATTGATTGGCATGATTATGAACAATAATGCATTGTGTTCGAAACTTTGTCATCCAGTAAACAATACTGTTTCACTCACTCTGTGTGATACATCTAATAAACAAACTTATATGGAATTATGTACTACCAAAGTAAAAACGTTAATCTGGCCACGGAAGGGTGAGAGAATGTATGTATCGCTCTGGAATGCAGACGTCCGGTTTCATATCTCGAACAGCTCTAATGCTTCAGCTATGGTACAGATGACGTATGCGAAGTTTCTTTGTGAGCTATTGAGGGACTTCGCATACGCCATCTGTACCATAGCTGAAGCATTAGGTATTCGAGATCTGAAACCGGACGTCTGCATTCAAAAGCGATACATACATTCTCTCGTTCTACCGTGGCTAAAGTAAAGTTATTATCATAATTTTGCTTCTTTTTTTTATTATATAAGTTCACTATTATTATTATTACTTTATTATCATTATTATTCCCATCGTCGATATTTTATTACCACTCTATGACTGTTTATTAATAACATTGCTTTTTCATACAGATCTTATACAAAAAAAACCTTATCGCCTTTCCACTAGTTCTTGTCCATTCTACACGAGCTGAGGTCATTGATTAGTCATTATCTCACACTTATTACGTCATGCCGACTTCTGCCTTCTTTTGTAACTTACAATTAGTCATCCCTTCTAGGTTACACGTTACATTATGTAATACATTTTTCGAGGATAAAGTTTACCAGTATCTGATGACGATCTTACGATATCTGTGTTAAATATAATTACGATTATTGTACAGCAGCTCATGAAAATGAATCGTCGAAAGGGAAAATGTTTTTCTTCACGAGTTAAGATGTCAAAAGGCGATGTGGACCTTAAATACTTTAAAAAAAAAATCCGAATTCTGCTGCTTAACACTGATATCAAGGTAGTGTTACCCCCTGCATAGCTCAGAAACTTGGCATGCACGTCGTTCAGAGCAGCTTCTCCAACAAGGTGTTAAAGAATTTTATCATTGGCTACCCCGCTTCGACGCATACTGAAGATAAGATTGCCTGACACCGGGAAAACAAAAGGCGACGAGGAATTTGAGCGATAAACCAACTGAAAACCTGTTCTATACTGTCAGTCCGTTTTCGACATAGAACTTTGCACATATGTGCACCAGTTCAAGTCGCCACACTCCCTCCTTGTAGCACACAAAGCAAGAGAAGAAAGTACAAGAAATGCATAATAGAGACAGTAAACATAGGTGTGAGACAAAGGAATAGTAATAACGAAGAACAATATAGTTTCATGGAAATCATAAGTCACAAAGAGTTAATGCATCTACGCCATTGAGGACGATTTTGAGCCATATCACCAATTATCTCCACCCTATTGGTTTTTACCGTCCCGGGGACCCCAAGCAGTCAGGAAGTCTACACCTTCCTACGTGACTGGCTGGCTTAAACTAACTGTTGTGGATTTCATTGACTGGTGCCATGTTTTTATTTGTCCTCTTTTTTTTCCTTCACGTTCCCCAGTGGAACATAGGGCACCTTCAAGCTAGAGGCTTGAAGTTTCTGTAGCAGTGTTTATTTTATAAGAAGGGGTTGCTAGCCCCAAGCCCAACCTTTTCCTCTTTACCAGCATTATTTCTAGCTTAGCAAGGTTAAGCAGTGCGTTGGCCAGGGATGGAACTCCGGATCATGTGCATAGTCGGCGAGCGTCGAAACCGCTTTGCCATCGACGCACGTTTCACCTCCACTGTCTATGCATTTAATATGCTATTTTAATAAGGCTGAACATATGTAATTACTTGAACAGAAAGTATCTAAATCTACTAATTACTACAAATTAGCAAAAAATTGAAAACTGCGACAATGTTTTAGTTTTTAAACATGAATAAAAACGTTAAAGAAAAATAATTACAATCACCACACTACTAGTAACAACAATACTACTTAAATAGATTTAATGTAGACAAAAAGTAAGCATATGTACATAAATTATTCATGAAGAAATTTTTTACTGGAAATAACAGAAAAGCGAAGATGATGATAATGTGCGTATTTAGAGGTTTCTTTGTTGTGTTTTCCCCTATTAACATTTGCAATTGTTTAAAGGATACCATAGCAGCAATTAATTGGATATTTTTAGCATACCAATACACCAACTGCGCATATAAATTCTTCAAATAGTGTAATATATATCTTTATATATGCATATGCGAATTGGTTGCTGAACACTAACGAATCAAGTTGTCTATTCTTGCATGCTGTAATCGAAGCCAACAGATGTGATGTACACGGCGGTCCCTCGACAGAATCAACTGACGCCGCTGTGTGCTATTATGACTGGTAATTTTGTGTTAAAACTGACGAGAACAGTCAACCAGATACCACCTCATAATTATATAGAAAGAACCCTAACCCAAATAGTATATGTTACAGGATTTCATCATTAGCTGATATCGGTTAGAGAATCATTGGAAAACGTGGGAGTTCGAATCCAGGACCTTCTGATTACAAGCAAGCAAGCTCGTAGACCATTAAGCAATTATTAATTATGATTATTATTATTATTATATCCTTTAATTCCTAGAGGAACGTAGGGCTTCAGCCGCGCGTCTCCATTGCCTTCTGTTTCCTGCCAACTTTTTCACCCTGCTCCAAGTCTGCCCACATGCTTTCATCTCCTCTTCACATGACCTCCTCCAAGTCACCCTTGCACTGATGACTAACTCGCCGCTTCCCTTTCGGGCTCCACTCGAGCGATGGCTTGTCTAGTGATGTCACTTGATGGTCTGTTTTCTCAGAGTATGGCCAGCCAATCCATCTCTATTTCTTCCGGCCTATTTGTTTGACAATCTGTTCCTGGTTTTCTCGCTCCCAGAGATCCTCCTTGTTGGTGATCTTTTCTGGTCGGCCATCTGATCTTGAGTATTGAGCAAAGACAACTCTTAGTGAAGATA